CAAAATGCTTTAACTATTGGTTAGTTACCACATATATTATTTGCCAAAATTAAGAACCTCACCCCTCCTTTTGTAATGCATAGGTCTTTCGTTAGGTCAAAAGCGAATCCTAACGATTAAAGTCCTCCTGTCTAATGACCAGATATTTTATTAAGACAGAACAGTAGAAATTCAAGGGTGTGTCAGAAGATTTGAACGAGAGGTGTACATCTTCATCCGTAAATTCTACGGGTTCAAGCTTCGCTTCTGCAGCATTATATTCAGCAGAAGATAAGAAACAGTCATCGTGCAGCAAATGCGGGGATTCCAGAGTTGCATAAACTTATGGGCGGATGCGGTTTAAGCAGTGATTACTTTGCAAATGACATTGTACAATTTAAGAGCAGCAGAAATAAGCGCTTCGATAAATTTGTGTAGCCTTTGACATTAAGTAGGCACAATCAAACTCTGAGGTAAACATCTTTTCATAGTGGACGTCACCGTAAGAATTCTAGTTAATACTGCTACCACTGAGGTGGCATGCAAATTGGCCATGAGATCTGTTGAAGTAGGCTCAGAAGGAGGTTGTGCATACAGATTCGGAGGTGCAGCTTCAAATTGATATCCTGAAGTGAGATGTACTGCTGTTATCTTGATTCTGAATTTCAACTTCTTCGCAATCATTCAAACATGGTGTTCGACTGCCTGCTGTTTGACCTCTACCAGCACTTTAGTGAGGCACTTTACCTGCTGTCAGTCACTAGGATTGAAAACTGGCGGATTTCGTCTGGTCTGGTCGTTGTGGGCGGCAAGTAAAGGGCTTGCTACCTGCCTTTAAGGCACGGTCTGTCAAATGCCGCAGATGCACAAGTGTCATTTCTTTGAGGCGAGTGCTCAGTGGAGAAAATAATGGAATTCAGTACCCCCATTGCCCGTTGCAGGTCTTGCGTCCCTACGTGGTCCTTCGTAATTTGTTATCACATGGTGCGGAGGCTGTTTAGCTAGCCGAATTAAGCACTTTTTACGAACTTGTATAGCACCTCTCCTCCCTTGATCACATCCCATAAATACGAGAAGTCGCTTATAATGAAAGGCAGACTTTACATCTTTCTTCTGCAGGCGAACAAAGGTATAAACAACAAACGTATAAATAACAACGTTCTTTTCTTTTAGTAGTTAGGTTTGAATTACTGTTGCCACT